CGCCTGTGGCTCAAAGGAGTAGGGCGCAGGCTCCATATGCCGGAGGTGGCAGGTTCAAACCCAGCCCTGGCCAAAAACTGCAACAACAACAAAAAAAATTCGGGCTTGGCACCTGTGGCTCAAGCCGCTAAGGTGCCAGCCACATACACCTAAGGTGGCAGGTTCGAATCCCCAGCCCGGGCCCGCCAAACGACAATAGCTGCAACCAAAAAATGACCGGGCTTTGGGGCGGGCGCCTGTAGTCCCAGCTGCTTGGGAAGCTGAGGCAGGAGACTCGCTTGAGCCCAAGAGTTGGAGGTTGCTGTGAGCTGTGATGCCATCGCACTCTACCCAGGGCAACAGCTTGAGGCTCCATCTAAAAAAAAAAAAAAGAAAGAAAGAAAATTTCACAACATCAACACTCAATTTTATACACTGGCCCATCCGGAGAGGAAATCATAGCTGCATTTTTTTAAGTTGTGCTGGAATTCCTAATCTTCATGATCCAAGATGTAATACTTACGATTTTTATGTAGGAGCAGGAGCTCCAGTAACTTCCATTTTGGCTTTTACCCCAGGTTATGAGGATTCTTCTAGTTGAGAGGAGCTGGTAGTTATCACAGGTTATCAGGATCCACCAAGCCTCCCTAGTGTCAGAATCCCCCACTCAACTTTTGACCTGCAACTGTGTCCTTGGTTCCCATAATTCATTTAAATTGTAAAACAATATCCAATAGTTGACTCTTGACCACCACAGGGGTTAAAACACTAACCTCATATACAGTCAAAATTATGCATCTAACTTTAGACTCTCCTAAAAATACAAGTAGCCATTTGGCCACAAACCTTCCTGAAATAAAAGTTAACACATTTCAAGGCTCAGTGCCCATAGCTCTCACCAAATACAGAGTGGCTGAGAGGCTGGAACCCAGCCGGCCAGGGCCTGCTAAATAATAAAAAAGCCAGGGCTCAGAGCCTGTGGCTCAAGCGGCTAAGGCGCCAGCCATACACCTAAGGTGGTGGGTTTGAATTCAGCCTGAGCTTGCCAAAACAATGATGGCTGCAACCAAAAAATAGCTGGGTATTGTGGTGGGCAACTGTTAGTCCCAGCTACTTGGGAGGTGGAGGCAAGAGAATTGTTTGAGTCCAGTAATTTCAGCCTGCTGTGACCTACTATGCCATGGCACTCTGAGGGTGGCAAAGTGAGACTGTCTCCAAACAAAACTGCTTTTTTTTGCCTTTACATCCAGTAGGTGCAAGCACAATCAGTGTTGCTATCCCAGGGGTGGCAGAAAATTCACATACCTAAGAACTTGATACCAATGATTTTCAACAGCAAACTTTAGATACTTAACCTTTCTCTAACGCCTAGTCAATACTTACGAAGTGCTTGGGCAAAGCTAGAAAGATTCGTTATACCATGTGATCTTTACTGTGGGTTTCTAACCTTTCAAAGGGTTCAGGCGTATTCTTTTGAGCCAGGCATGCATTCAAAAGACCCAGCGGCTTTTCTGGCTATATGATTAAGACCTTTGTTGACTTTGTTTCTGTGAACCTATCTACTGAACTACAGCTTGAGATTCCTGTGTCAAATCATTTCACACACTAATTACAACACACCTATCCTGTAGCTTGTAATTACCCCTGCTTACTTCAGCTTCTAAGGGCCAACAGTCATCAGTGGTTTCTAACCCAGAATCCCATTTCAATTTCGTCCCCGCTTATCAGGCCACTAAAGCTCTTGAAATAAGGTATTCTTGACTTCATTAATTGGTTGTTGTTCCTGGAGAAAAGGGTACCATTTTGGATCCTGTGAGGGAACACACTAAGAAGAGTGGGTTGTAGATCAAACCAATCAAACAGTAGTTACCACTTTTTTGAGACAGTGTCTCACTTTGTTGTTCTTGGTAGAGTGCCCCTGGCATCACAGCTCACAGCAACCCCAAACTCTTTGGCTCAAAAGATTCTCTTGCCTTGGCCACCCAAAATAGCTGGGACTACGGGCGCCCACAACGGCTGGATATTTTTAGAGATGAGGTCTTGTTCTGGCTCAGGCTGGTGTCAAACCTGAGAGCTCAGGCAATCCACCCACCTTGGCCTCCAAGAGTGCTCAAAATTCATTCCTATAAAACTTAGCAAAGTTGATAATGTAAATAAAACATAATCCTATTTCCACTGCATGAAAGTTCTTTTACCCTATTCTAATTCAGAGTTTCTCCTGCTTTGGCCTTGCAGGTATAAAATCCAGTTTAATGGGAAATGAAGGACGACAATTAATTTTGTCCTGTTTGAGGCATACATTCCTTATTTAAGGGAATTAAAGAGTACTTCAAGAGGACTCAGGTTTTTCCCAAGGCCTACAAATTCTTTTTTTTTTTTCTTCGAGACAAGAGCCTCAAGCTACCCCCCTGGGTAAAGTGCCATGACATCACAGCTAACACCAACCTCCAACTCCTGGGCTCAAGCGAGTCTCCTGCCTCAGCCTCCCAAATAGCTGGGACTACAGGGGCCCACCACAATGCCCAGCCATTTTTTGGTTGCAGCCATCATTGTTGTTTGGCGGACCTGGACTGGGGATTTGAACCCGCCACCTTATGTGTATGTGGCTGGTGCCTTAGCCACTTGAGCCACAGGTGCCGAGCCCCTACAAATTCTTAATAGCCTAGTTCCAACTGTTACATCCTAAATGTTTTCATGAAACCTTAAGTTTGATTAGAGTACTTTTTTCGTTTTTTTAAAGAGACAGTCTCACTTTCTCACCCTTGGTGGAGTACTGGCGTCACAGCTCACAGCAACCTCTAGCTCTTGTGCTTAGGCAAATTCTTTTGCCTCAGCCTCCCAAGTAGCTGGGACTACAGGTGCCTGCCACAATGCCTGGCTATTTTTTTGTTGTTGCAGTTTGGCTGGGGCCAGGTTTGCACCTGCCATCCATGGTACATGGGGCTGGTGCCCTACTCATTGATCCATAGGCGCTGCCTACTTACAAAGTAATTTAACTCAGCAATCATGCAAATAAATGTTGAAGCTATGGGCACATAAAAACCCCTGAGTTCCTGTGCCTCAAAGCAAAAGGTCAAGATTGAACATTATGCTCTCCTGTAGTTCTGATACTTTGTCCCATATGGGAGCAATTATCCAGAGGTCCCCAAGAAAGCTTTCATGAAAGTGACTACTAATCACAGTGTAAACTACTAACTTTATCCCAACCTGTCTTGATCTGGTAAAATCCCAAATTTTCTTCAAGGTCTAATGGCTGTAAGACACAGTTGGTAGCAAATTCTCAATTAGTCAAAATTCGTTTGGATCTAAAAGCCAGAACATTAAAATCAACTAGCTTTGAAGAATAAACTTACTGGCAGGATAATGGGTAACTACAGAATGGAAGAGCTAAATATTAGGTTTTGGTTATCATGGATTATCAATAGTTAGAGCTCACACACAATTATTGTTACCCTATTTCCAACTTTTCTGTCCCAGTCTCTATACAATATAAATTCCCAGGACAAACCTTGGGTTGGGTGGGGTTTAGGGAGGGAAAAAAGCAGGTTTAGGAGTACAGATCGTCATACGTCATTCCATCAAAGGATGCTGTTCCAGAACTAGAAACTCCAGGGCAGTTAGTATATTCTACTAAAACAGTTGTTTCCCACTTATCTTTAGGGGATATATTTGAAGGCCCCAGAGGATGCCTAAAACTGAGGAAAGTATTGAACTGTGTACATATATATGTATAGTGTGAAAGTTAGTTTATGAAATTACTTGAGATGCCTATCAAATCACAAACAGGGCAGGTTATATAACCAGCTTGGATAGACTAGTGAAAGGGATACTGCCCAAGATTTGATCACAGCACTCAACAATCATATGCTTTCTGGCATTGTCCATTTAATACTTGCAAATTGTGTGGGTGGTGCCTGTGGCTCAGTGAGTAGGGTGCTGGCCCCAGATACCCAGGGTGGCATGTTTGAATCCGGCCCCGGCCAAACTGCAACAATAAAAATAGCCAGGCGCCTGTAGTCTTAGCTACTCAGGAGGCTGCTGTGAACTGTGACGCCACAGCACCCTATAGAGGGCAACAAAGTGAGACTCTGCTGTAAGAACTACTGCAGGCACAAATGGCACCACTGAGCAGTGAACATTTAAGCATCCCCACCCAAACATGTTAGTTCCCTAGTAAATTTACACTCATCACGTACCATTATACTATATATTCTGGGTACAAAGGTAAAAAGCTCAAAGGGATATCAAAGTTTATACAACTCTTCCTTAAGAAGATAGCTGTAAGCACAACATGATCTCTCATACACACCATCACTGTAAAACCAGACTTCTCAGCCTTTATGTAAACTCAACCTTTCTGGTCCGCATTCTAAAACTCAACTGATGCAAATAATTGTGTAGCCACTTATTACTGGTTGAAAAGATCTGAAATAAACAATCACAAACACAGCATTAAATTCCACATTCTTCCTGGAAGTAAACACATACGGGTACAAGATTTATATTGAGTTACCAAAAGTTAGTAGGCATTTAAAACACCCTGCCTATGAAGTTTTACAGAGTAAGATTTGCAAGTATGATCCGTTACTGATACTTCCCAGTCATCTGGCAGCCTCAATACCAATGGGGAGCATTTTACACATAGGCATCGATCTTCAATCTACTCTTAAATCTACTCATGAGAGTGAGCTAGGACCACCTACGTTCAGATTCTAGCATGGCCACTTGCACTGGTCATGAAAATTACCCAAATGAAAAAAGAACCAATACAAAAATGTCCATTTTAGGTACCCTCAAGTTATATATAGAGATCACAGTTATTTTTCATCCCTAAATGGGGATGTACCTTGTTACTCTCCATGTATTTTGCAGAAGATACAAATTTCTCTTTAAAAAATAGGAAAAGAATGCATCTCAGCCAAAGCAACACACTGCGTTAGAGACTCAAGTATAGAAAAATTTTAACAAGTAACAAATCCCAACAAGTATTTGTTGTGTAAACTGAGTTGCACCACCAATGTTTTTCATTTGCATTTATTTAAACACAGTTCTCAAAACATTTGAGTGAAATTGGGCTTCCTTTGGTAAGCAAAGGACCTGAAAATAATATTTAAAAAATGAACAGGCAAAGTCTTCAGTTCATCCATGACACAGGTGTAGTGTTCCCTTCTCTTATCCCACACTTTAAAGCACCCAGTTTTTTCATATGGTCTAAAGCTAGAAAAACAAAGAGTACATTTGTGGTGGAATGTATTGTCACTTGCTGTTTGAAATACTATTGTACCCTTTTAACAGTTTTAAGAAATAGCCTTTGAAGGCATATATTGTGCAACTCTTCTTACTCCCTGCTATATATATTATTACAGATTACATAGAGGCTGACACAAATCCACACTAATATAAGCATTAAGCATTTGTTGTATTGAAAGATTTTTAGTTCTAATACTAGCAGTACAGAGTTACAGAGCATAATTTTTAACACTTAGTTGCAGGTATATTAAGTATGGTATGTTTCATGGACTGGAGAAAACGGCCATCTTGTCTTTAAAATTACTATTGACAACAAAATCTGAACAGTTCTGCTAAGCACTGATATGTTTAGAAAGAAAAGTAAAAATCAAACTGTTTTTATTGTTGCTTTTTGCCATTTGGTAGCATTTTACACAGGCTTCGATCTTCAGTATACCCTGGATTCAGTAAAAAACCCTTTTAAATGAAGTTTTGTACAATAGAAACTTCTTAGCAGTCAAAATTTAGACTGTAAAAAAATACATGCAAAACATACTTTCCTGAAAACACTTAACTTTGAACAAAGCACCGAACTACACAAATGCAGAATGAAAACAGCATTTCAACTCCACCAAAAGTAGTCATCATAAAGGTGTAAAAGTCACCTAACTTCACTAGGCACTGTTCACTTTTTAAACGAGACAATAAAAAATATTGTCCACAAACAATATCCCAGCTGTAGGGTAGGTTTCAGAAAGTCTTCAGCTTCATGCTTCAATAGCGACCTAGAAAGAAAATAATCAGGCTTTAATACTAAGGGAACTGGCTATCAAATGTACTTTAATGCTAAGAATTTTGAGTTGTTCTGCCATTAGGAAATTCTTAGGGACCAGATTACAGAAGACTTCTTCTGAAATGTTACAAAAGAAATACGAAGTATAAATCAAATCTGAGAGCTAAGGGTTTTTGGTTTTTTGTTTCTTGAGACAGAGCCTAAAGCTGTCACCCTGGGTAGAGGGCTGTGACATCCCAGCTCACAGCAACCTCCAACTCCTGGGCTCAAGCGAGTCTCCTGCCTCAGCCTCCT